ATCGGCTAGTAAAGCAACGTCCTCCACAACTAGACTGAAGAACAAAAGGACAGCAACTTGTCTGTTCCCCTTCCCCCAATTCCCCAGCGCTGTTCCCCTCCCTCAATTCCCCAATAAAATCTTAAAAAAAAAAAAGAAAGAAAGAGTATAGCAAGTTTGAGAAACATAAAAAAGAAAACAGCAACTATAACAGAGAAGCAAAGTGGAGAACAATACAGGATGGGATAAAACAGGTAAGTAGGAACCAGACAAGATTAAAATACTTGGTATGTTTTTCAAATTAATGGTTATGTGTCCCAGTGTGCTGGTCTCTGACAAGAGTTAATAAATATTTGATAAATTAAGTTAAATTATGTCACTAACATGTTAATTCAAAAACTAGTAAATAACAAAACATTAACACTCAGTACAGAAACTTAGCAATTTTACTGGTGATTCATATGTCAACAAATAATAATCCCTTTAGCAAAAACAGTTTTCCATATCTCTACAGCTATCATTCTACTTTGCTTAGAAATGCCTCTTTTTAAAATATTCAAATTTTCATTACCACTTACCTCAATGTTATTATTTAGATCCCCATAAACTTGTCTAGTTTCTTCCCGTTCATATTCATCTATTATTAATATAAAATATTTCAAAATTAAACTTTAAAACAATACATCAACAAGATAATACCCAAAATGCCTCAAAAAATATTTAAAATTCTGTGTTAGTGAAGGGCACTGGTATATCTTTTCAGTCTTTTAAAGTAGCATCAAAAGCAGTTTCATAGTAAGGCATGATTGTACTTCATGATATCAACCTCAAAGCTTGGTGCTGTTCAATTATCTCTAATTTCCTTTTTTAGAATTACTACTCATGAATTTATTCAAACTTTGTAAAACATATTTATAATTTTAACCTTTACAATGAGTAGGGATTTAACAACTATTCTACAAAGTTTTTTTCCTATATATATATAAGATTCATGAGGTACACACGAAAGGTAAAGCTAGTTCTTATTGTCTCTTGCTCTTATCTCTGAGGAGGCAGAAAGGAAAAGAAACATCAAGCCAGGAAGAGCAAGGTTAAGAATAGGTGTGGCCCCAGGGAGAAATCCCTTTTGAATCCTCTATGATTTTTTTTTTTAGGTTTTTCTTACATGAGTGATGATTCCCTCAGCTATACGCCATCCTTCAGTAAAGTCAGTAAAACTTACTGTTGGTAGGTAGAGCTGTAGGGATTAAGGTACAAGGCAGTAAAAGAAAATGTTTCTGTCCCTTCATCATTCCCCCAAATCACAGCATCGCAGAAACCACACTGAATTGGAGGGTGTTCGTCTCAGCTTCTCAGTAACAAGTTGGAAAACCAGAGAACAGCAGCTATTGTAGACTCAAATGTCAATGAGGCACCAAACAACCAAAAAGGGGCACATGAACTGCCTCTGGAAGAATACAAGTATCGTAACCCCTCAAAAAAAAAAAACTGGAGAGAGCTCTGGACTTACAGCACGTGGAACAGGAGCCATACCATTTTTATTTGAATATTAAAAGGCTAGAAAATTTAAGGAAATAGAGGCAGAACACACCAGCATTTCAATAAAAACACAGTTCATACTTCTTACGCCATTTGTTCACTCTCATTTTCACTATCTAACACACTTAACAACAAACCTCAATTCCTCAGAAACTATCTGCACTAAAGAATTGGATTCTCTTGCCAACATCTCCAGTATTCCCACTACCACCACCACCAGTACTTCCTAAATACCCTCCAGCCATTCATCCAACAGGCAAGTACTGGGAATCAAATAAGACTACAGAAAAGAAAGGAAACTGGTATAGATATGCTTTACAGTTGTCAGGAGCAAGCTGCTACAGGTGGCACAGGGAAGGGGCTCTGGTAGCAGTGTTCTAATATAGTGACGTAATACTGTAAAAATATAAGCCTACTTTTTTGGTTTTTCTTCTTTATATTTGTCTATCCATCAATCCATCCATGTACCTCACTACTACTACTACTACTACTACTCCCCCTCTCCCTTCCCCTCCCCTCACTCTCCCTCTCTCTCTCTCTCTCTGTCTCTCTCAAACACACACACACACACACACATCTTACTTTGCCTCAACTGGGACATCAATATCTTGTGGCATTCATTGCCTTAAAGAAGAAATGATTCAACCAAAAGCAAAGAAAAAGTTTCAAAAGCCCAGACTGGGGTTGGGAAAAGGATTCAGAACATACACAAGTAATACATTTTCTAAATACATGGGTCAGAACAAAGCTTCTCATTTTCTAGACCTAAGAAATATTTACTAGTTTGTGAAGATGACTTTAGCAGGGGAAGCTGAGAGAGCTTACTGGATTCCGGCAGATACTTAAGAGGTTCTGCAGCCCTCTGCACTCACCAGACTAAGCTTCAGGGTTGGGGACCACAGAAACCCAGATAGTTTGGGAAAACTAAGGGCACAGTAGGACTCTGCTTGTTTTTTCCTTCAAGGGGCCTCAAGGAAGGTGACAAAACCTGAGAAGAAATGGCTGTGAAATATATCTAGACAAAAAAGGCCTTAGAGAGAGCTTCACCGTTTCCCTTGTCCCCACTGCCTGCCCAACAGTGGCATAAAGCACAGTGGACCTGAATGGCTCCTAAGAACAGGTATGAGGAACAACTCAGCAGCTGCTCATGTGGACCAATAGCTGAAAACCAACTGAAATGATGCAAGTCTCAATGGACAGATGACTGAGAAACAAACATCCCTCTCCACCACATGGTACTATATGGGCACCCCCAAATTTAGATATAACCCCAGGAAAAGGGGGGAAATTCCCAAATTTACTGAGATTAAGTTCTTCCATGCTAGCAGAATAAAGGCTTTAAGATTTTTAAACATTAAGATATTTTAAACATTTTTAAGATATAAAAATTTTGTGTATGCTTGAGTTTGTTGACTAAAATTACTCAAAATCATACATGCTACAAAATTTATCAGAGCACCAGAAAACCATGCAGAAGGGGCAGAAAGACAATGTGGCCATAATAAGCAGAGTTAAGCAAGGTGAAAATGACCCACCGTACAATTGTACATATGAAAAGGAGATTCAACCACTGAACCAGGGGAGATAAATTAGGACCTGCCAGTTTATCACCTAGTTTTTTTTATTTAGTTTGACAAGTTCTTGACTTATTCACTGATGTATATGGGGAGAAAGCCTATATGAGGCATATGAAAAAATACTGTCAAAGAAAAGGAAACAACATGAAAGATGTTCAAAAGAAAAACCTATCTCTGAAAATGAACTGTAGGGAATCCAGATGTACATTTCAGAAAACTACTCAGTATTCTAAACAGAACCAAGAAAAACTGGTGTCAATGAAAGAGGAAGATACAGTCATAATGAACAGGCAACACATTTAATAAGGTAAGTATTAAGATGTTTAAGAAAAAAAAATCTAAGTGTCACATCAAGATATACTCTTTATTTAAGAAATCATCTAAAAATGTTTAAAAGGCTCTTCAAACCACATCTGATCTCTGACCTAGAGAGCTTAAAACTAAATGGAGGCAAGAACTAGCAGACTGGTCTTTGTGGCCCAGGTTACTTTTGTCAGGACAGTCAATATACTATCCCTCTACCCCCATCCATATACTTTTTATCACTTTTTATATCTAGACAGAAAAGCTAATCTTGAAAGTTGAATAAACAAGATATAATGGAAGAACTGGTAGTGGTGCCGTACATACTAGAAGATATACATAGTTCTAAAAGCAAAGTACTATAGGCAGGGACCAATAATTATTAATCAATGAACAGAGGATTAAAGAGAGTGCATAACTTATTCAATTATTCAAGGTCAAGCAGATAGCAACTGAAAATTTGAATTTGAGCACAGACTGTCTAACTCTCAAGCCCAAACTCTTAAGCAGTAAGATGTGTGATCTCAATTAAAATTTTTAGCTAAGAAACATAGCGTTATTCTGAAAAAGCAGGTAGAGAGTATTTCCCAATAGATTCTTGGCAAAAAAAACAAAACAAAAGAGAGCTAGTGCCAAACTAATGACAAAGATAAAAACTATTATTTTTGAAAATCAGATTTTTGTTTTTCATCAAAATGAAAAAAATTCCTACTTTACAATTAAAATCAAAATATGCATTAAATAAAAGATGCACTTTCATATAGGTATATATCACAACCTTATTAGAATATTTTAAAAGAATGTTTTTTAAGAGAAATTTGAGAATTCTAATTAGATTGGAAATAAATATTGTACCACTATCTTAAGTACTATGACTTCGGCATGGCCCTCCACCAGTATTTTCTGTTTGAACATGGCTACATACCATATTCTTGATTCAATTTCCTGGTTGTTTCAGACAAAAGAGGTTAGTTTCAAGATCACACTTTAACTGAAATAAACTAACTACAATGCCAAGTATATGTCTTTTGAAATATATTCTCTTTCAAAAAGCTTTGAGCTTTCAAAGCTCAAAGTTACTACATATAAAAAAATGGTATATGAGGCACATATAACTTGTTTAAATCAAAACTGGTTCCAAAATGTGAAAAGACAATTTCTTCCCCTTTCAATCCCCACCATTAAAATAATAAATCATAATAAACTAATAAAATCACATAGGATAAGAAAGATATTTACATTTCTTTGTCTTTTCTGCAGATCTGGCACAGGTTTCTTTGAGTAAATTACATAAATGCCTTGTAGCATTATTCCTGAAACAAAGGAGAAAGTCTGCCTAAGTGTTTACAAAGAAAAATCATACATAAAAGTTTTGAAATATTATTACCATTTTTAAAGAAATTCTTAAACATTATTTTTTGTATATATTACATATTGCTCATAAATGACTATATGAAGAAAAAATAGGTTGACTGTACTATTAGCAAAGATGAGTTACGGGGGGCAGCCAGGTGGCTCAGTTGGTTAGAGCACGTGCTCTGAACAACAAAGTTGCCGGTTCAATTTCCACTTGAGATAATGGACTGTGCCCCCTGCAACTAGATTGAAAATGGCGACTGGACTTGGAGCTGAACTGCGCCCTCCACAACTAGATTGAAGGACAACGACTTCCTTGGAGCTGATGGGTCCTGAAAAAAACACAGTTACCCAATTAAAAAAAGAAAAAAAATTAAAAAAACAACAAAAAAAGATTTAGTAGCTGCCTCTCTTCAGAAGTAAAAAGGATAACTCGTTTTTTTGTTTGTTTGTTTTTTTAGCTGAGCCATCCTGCCACCTGTTGGCAGCTCAGCAGCAGCTCAGCTCGGGCTGTGAATCAAACCTAAAAGGATAACTCTTTAACAAGTTTCTACGCAAGTAGTTATCAGTAACTTTTTTAGTAAACAGTTCAGGTGTACCTAAAAAAAAAAATTAGGAGAAGGTTGTTGGGCTTTTCATTTACTAATTACCCCAGAAATACCCTAGCTGTCTTACCTTCAAAACCTAAGTAGGTAATTTTCTGACTAGCCATTCATTATGTAAATAATAAGACCTTATCATCGCAGTAGATGTTGAGAAAGCATTTGATAAAATTCAGTATTCATTGATGATAAAAAAATCTCATCAAACTAGGTATCCATGGAATGTACCTCATAATAATAAAGTCCATATATGACAAGCCTACAGCTAACATCATACATATTTGCTGATACTAAGATCAGGAAACAAGACAAGGTGCCCACTCTTGCCACTTTTATTCAACACAATATTAGAAGTCCTAGCCAGAGGATTAGGCAAGAAAAAGAAATAAAAGGCATCCAAATTGGAAAGGAAGAAATAAAACTGTCACTATGTGCAGATGACATATTATATATAGAAAATCCTAAAGAGTCCACCAAAACATTGTTAAAATAAATGAATTCAGTAAAGTTGCAAGATACAAAATCAGTATACAAAAAATCAGTTACATTTCTTACACTAATAACAAGCTATTAGAAGAGAAATTAAGAAAACAATCCTATTTACAAATACATCAAAAAGAGTAAGATACCTAGGAATAAAGTTAACCAAGGAGGTAAAAGGCCTGTACACTGAAAATTGTACGACATTGATTAAAAGAACTGAAGAAGACACAAATAAATGAAGAAATATTCTGTTCTCATGGATTAGAAGAAGTAACATTGTGAAAATGTCCATACTACCCAAAGCAATCTAGAGATTCAATGCAATCTCCATCAAAATTCCAAAAGCATTTTTCACAGAACAATCCTAAAATGTGTATGGAACCACAAAAGACCCTGCATAGCCAAAGCAATCTTGAGAAAGAACAAAGCTGGATGCATCACACTTCCTGATTTCAAACTACATTACAAAGCTATAGTAATCAAAACAGTATTTATTGACATAAAACACACATAAATCAATGGAACAGAATAGAGACCAATAATACTCATAAACCCAAGCATATATGACCAATTAATTGATGACAAAGGAGCCAAGAATATACAGTGAAGAAAGGACAGCCTCTTTAATAAAAACGACCCACTCCTTAGACTTCAGACACTAGTTGCAAGCCCAGGTTGTTACCTGTACCTCTGACGGACTGCCTATAAATAAGAGGTTCCCACAAACTCCTCCTTGGGTTTGATTAATTTCCTAGAACAGCTCACCGAATTCAGAGAAACAATTTACTTAACTAGATTACCGGTTTATTATAAAAGTATATAACTCAGAAACAGCCAGATGGAAAAGATGCATAGGGCAAAGTATGGGGAAAAGATGAGGAGCTTCCATGCTGTCTCCAAGCTCACTACTCTTCCCACATTTCCATGAGTTCACCAATTAATATACAAAACTCAGTTGCAATTCTGAACACTGATAACAAGCTATGAGAAAGAGAAATTAAGAAAACAATCCCATTTACAAATGCATCAAAAAGGAAGCTCTGTGAACACTGTCCTTTTAGATCTTTATGGAGGCTTCATTAGATTGGCATGATTGATTAAATCACTGGCCATCAGTGATTGATTCAACTTCCAAGTCCAGTGCCCTCCCTAGAGGGGGTAGTGGGGAGAGGGGTCACTGCAAGTTCCAAACCTCTAATCACTTGGTAGATTCTCCTGGCATTCAGCCCCCATCCTTAGGTGGGGTCCAAAAGTCACCTCGTCAGTGTAACAAGAGAACCTTTGTCACTTTCAACACTTAGGAAATTCTAAGGGTTTGGGTGGATGTGAGTCAGGATCTAAGCTAGTAGTATGGAACTCAGTTACATACCCATATAAAAGTGACCAGGTAAGTACCAAACATACAATAGCCACACAATGTGAGAAACTTCCTCTTCTCTCTCCCAAACTTCATTTTAGGCAGGGAAAAAATTAAGGTGTTAACATTTAAATTTTCTCTGGGAAGTCACAGGTTGTCTTTCAATTGGGCTAAAATAATCCACCTAATAGCATTTTTTCACTTAGCAACTTCACTAACAAGGTGATAGGCTTCTGGACTGTGTTTAGCATTATATTTAACTTAAAGCAAGTAGGAATAAACAAATTTGGCACTCTATGTGGGCCCATACATTACATTCTAACTTTTCAATATTTACTTGGCAGATGTATGAAATAATTATATTTTTCTATTAAAGTCTGCATGATATAATCTGAATTAGGTGATAAATGTATAAAATAAGCATAGCTATTGCCCAAAGGAAAAGTCAAAGATACTAAAATTTTAAGCAAAAGTAAATGGGAAGAATCACTGGGGTACTGGCAAACACAGGAATTTGAGAATGAGAATTAACTTGGAACTAAGTTGAGCCCTATTTTGCAAGTACTGTACCTGAAACAATAGTCAAACAGAAAGGTAGACAATATACATGGGCAGTTGTAGCTACAGGATTATCAGGTATCTTTTTCACACCAACTAATGGTTTCTCCTTCCTGCCATTTTTAAAATGGAGACACTATTAGTAGTCAATGACCAAAGTTTGCCAAATGCAAGAATGTAAAATAAGTTATGTCTTCATTTTTCCACAGTACCTAGGTAGTACTATATAACAGAAAGTGCTCAATAAATTTTTGGAAATTATTTTAATAATAAATTTGGAAAGAACAAATACATTAAATTATTACTTACTCTTTTATTAAATCTTTATTTTCTTGAATTTTTTCTTCTAATTTCAAACTTACTTTTTCATTTTCAAACTAATTCACAAAACAAAAGAACAGTTCATCACATTTTGCTTAGCAAAATAAACATGAGTATAATCATTAAGCAGCATCTCTTTGCTAACATGCTATTGGGTTGTCGGAAAAGTCATTATGTACTTTTTCTGTTTTTCGTTGCAAAAATGTGTCATGACTTTTCTGACAACCCAATACAATGGTCTACAAGAAAGAATTCTTTTCTTTGAACACCAAAAAGAACTTTTTTGTCACAGCTTATCGATTTCCCATAAGAATATGGGTCTCACTTTCATCAATCTAAAATCAAGTTGGCTAAATCATTTCCATAAAAAAAATTCAACAATATTTTAATGCAATATTATTTTCCTTAAACATTTTGAAATGATGTTGTATCTTTGTCCTAACCTAATGTTGCATTTTCTCAACATTTTTGTTACTATTCCATAAAACTGAAACTAAACAGTTTCAAATGTAAAGTTTTATCTATGTCATATTCCAATATGAGTTATTTATATCAAACAAGGCATCATCAGTAATAGAAATTAATAAAAATAAAACTCAATAAATTAGTCATTAAATCTATCTTTAAAGTAATTTATTATTTCCCTAGTCATTTGCATTATTTTGTACAACTTGCCCTCTGTGCTCATTGTAAAGTTGAAATGCAACTAATATCAATGTAACTTCAAAAAAGCACTGCCCTTAAAATCCACATCACAGAAACAAGGTAAATGCAATTTACCCTGAAATAATACTCTATTATTAAAAGTATAAGATTTACTATACTGTATTTTCAATTCTGAATCTCCTTATACCTGTAGTTCCTGAATGGCTTTCCGCTGTGCTTCAATTATCTTTCTATTTTCTTGCAATTTATTTTCTTTCTGCTTCAGTTCAGATTCTACATTCATTTTCCACTTCTTGATCTTTTCAGCCTCCTTATACAGTTTTGAATATAGTCTGCTCATTGGCTCTGAATTCTATTAAAATGAGTTTTCAAAGATTGTTAATTGTTCAAAATTTTAGTATAACCAAATTACATCTGCCTATTGAAAATATCCATGAGTAATAATATCTTAATAGTTAAGGGCAAATCTCTCAATTTATACCCTAATAGCATACTGAAAGCTACACTGACTTTTTAAAACTAGCTACTTCACTAGTTACTGGTCACTTGACTAAGTTATACATACCTTGCTGAATAAAATCAAATAACTTCAAAATGTACCTAAGCCAGAAGTTAGACGTATTTTAGTCAATGAGAGATTCTGGCAGGTTAAAAGCTAAAATAGAAATCTATACGTTTTAACAATGGTCTTGAGACATTTTGGCATTTTGGTTATATAAACAGTTTGAAGATTAACTAAATGACATGAAATTTAAAATATAATAACAAGAAAAACAATAGTGAACATAAGATCTAACTTTCATTTAGCCTGAGATTTTATTTGGATTTATTTGGATTTCCCGCATTATTCATTTCCACATTATAAGGTAAATGCTAGAGTTTATTTATTTTTAAATCACACTGATTTCTGCTAGCTCCTTGTTATCAAAATATATAAGTTCCATATTTTCAAATTCTGTGATACTAGAACCACAGAAGCAAACATACAGCACTGTATAAGGCCATGGAATTTCTCCTCATTTTAAAGATACCAATGTGCTATTAGTAAGAATTTTTTTTATAACTAAAATAAAAAATATAGCATGTCCTACAAATTCCTTAGACAGTAAACAATCCAAACAATCATACCTATTAATAAAAAAAATTGTTTGTAAAATACTGGCTTGATTCTCAGCCTTTTCACATATTGCATCTATCTCCCCTTTTCTATTTTTTATTTCTGTGGTTTAAAATTAAATTGCCCCTAAAGAAAGGATGCTTTTATAACCCAGGAAAATACAGAGGCCTAGTGTTTTAGCAATTTTAAAAGAAAAAACAAATGGGGGGAGGAAAGTTTTAAAGGATATAATTAAAACATTAACCAAATATTAATCCTTTTTTCAATGGAATTGTAATAGATAAGCATGATATCGGGGGTGGGAGGGCAGTAGATGGGGGTAGGGGGGTTGTTACTTTGTGAGGGTGAAAAGGGTAACTATTGCATTGTTCTGTACACCTGAAACTAACAATAAAAAAATTAATTAATTAAAAAAAGATAGTACTAAACAAAAATTTTAAAACTCTCCTATATAATGTGGATATTATCTTAAATGACTGCATATTGTTCTATTTTATGGCAATGGCCACATTTAATGAATCCTTTTCACCCCTGCATCCTAGTCTGTTATTTATAATTTTTTTCCTGATGCTACTTTTAATTGAGATATAACTTACATGCTAAAAAAATTATAACTTCAAAGTGTACAATTCAGTGTGTTTTTAGTATATTCACAAGGCTGTACAGTCATCATCACCTCTATGTAATTCCAGAATATTTTCATCATCCCCAAAAGAAGCCTCATCCTCTTTAGCAGTCACTCCCCACTTCCCCTCCTTGCAGCCTCTGGCAACCACTATATTTCTGTCTCTTTGGATATGCCAATTCTAGACATTTCATACAAATAAAATTATGCAATATAAAAAAATTAATCCTTTTGAAGCTTTAAAAGAAATATACAAATAATAATAAATGATACTCTAATTACAAGAAATTTCATATGGATGGGAAATCTTCTGACCTCAAAATCAGAGTCTTTTAGTCCTTCCTGGTAGTGAAAACTGTCAGAATTATCAACCTAAAAAAATGAATAAATGTTTTCTATAAGAAAATATTTCTGATAAGAGTTTCCAAATAGTAGCTATTAAATACTGAAGACTAGTAATCCAATAACTAAAGAATTATTTTTCTTTTTCAAGCAAGCAATTCAATACCCAAACAAATTTATATTATGCACACTTAACTAACCTGTTCAAGCATGGGCAAAATGTTAACTTTTTGTAAAACAGGATCTGCAAGATAAAAGACAACTGGTATTAAACATGCCAACATCTTATTTTTTATATTAAATATTATATCTAGCTTTATGACAAGGCTATCAATATAGTACTTATGTATATTTTCAATATCTAGTAGTGTGTATTTTTAAAACACTTCTATGTAGTGTGATATATTATTTTTCCAGTCTCCTACCTGAATCAATGTTTTCCACATTTTTAGAGAGATTAGCCATTGCAAACGGAAAACCAAAATCATCTTCCATACATTTGCTGAAACTCTAGAAACACAAAGAAATTCTTAAACATACTGTTCCACTGATAACATGCAGTGTAGTATGCAATTACATATACAAAATATATCTGATTAAAGAAGTGATTATTGTAAATCCTTTAATGTATAGTGTTCAAAATATTATATTACATTATATATATTATATAGTATATATATTTTATATTAGTTTCTAATATAAAATAATACTGAATGTCAACTATAGCTGAAATATATATATATATATAATATCAAATGCTTTTTCTATGTAAACAAAGCAAAAAAATTAGGTATTTTCACTTATAAAATAAAACTAAACTATAAATTATACAATACATGCTTTGTAAGTATTCAAGAATAACATTAGTAATCTTAATTAGTAGCACATAGTACTAGTTTTCTTCTATTTCATTATGATCTTTCCCTTGATAAAACTGAGAATAAGCTACTGAGTAGCATTTTAATGTTATATTCTTAGCTAGAGAGACATAAGAATTTTTCTACAGCATATAAAATTTAAATACTTCATCCCATCGCCAATAGAAAGTTCAACATGAAAAAATTTTTAAATAATTTAAGTAGAAAAAGCTGTTTTGCCTGAGAAACGTGGCGTAATTCCTCCTTTTTGACAAAAACTTTACGATATAAGTAAATTTCCCTTTTCATCCTGTTGCCCGGGAAGCCCAGAGCCAAATTTTAAAGCTGTCACAAATTCATTTTTTACCAGTATGTCAACATATTTGTCCCAGTGTACTTAATTTTCCTTGATATTAATAGTCTCCTAATTTGCATTTTAGTATTTCATTGTATATGTGTTATAAGTTGCCTTAAACCATTTAACAGAAAAAAATTAAAATAAGCAGAATGTTCTATTAAGTATGCAGAGTTCTAAAGCCAAAATGATTTCTTTAAATGAATGATGCCTATGTACATTAAATATGCTCAGCATTTATTCCAAGCAACGCGATTCAAAATTCTAGAGTAAATCAGACCATCCTTACTGAAAAGAAATACTCAGAAAATATCACCAGTAAAAAAGTACATGTTGCCTCATTTACCTAAAGTTAAAAATAGTCAAATCAAGACCCAAACGCAAATCTACCTTGAAGGACTTGGAATCTCCTCCCAAGGTCTGAGGTTTCACTGCAGACACTTGACTTAATCTCGGTGGTACAAACAATTTAAAGGGCTTCTGCTTCTCCATTTTCTCTCTTCCAGTTTTGATGACCTATTGTTCCAAAGGGGCAAAAAAAGTGTTTTACACGTTGTTTCATTAATACACTATTTTTATGTTAAGAGGTGATGTGTGTATTTTCAGTGACCATCTAAAGGGATGCGTGGAACCTTTGCCATGGACGCCTACAGCGTCGCTTGTCGCGAGGGTGGTCCAGGTAAAAACACCCCTATTTGTTCCCCCCATCCCCCCACCACCAATGGCCGCCCTGGTGACGTACATCCACAAGAACCTGGAACAAGGCATTATGCTGTGACCTTCTGAAAAGAAGGCCCATTTCCTAGTTTACCAGCCCGATTAAATTGCACCGCCTCGCCAGGAGGAACTGTCTCGGGTTCTCAGAAGACCACCGAAAAGGCCCCGGAGGCTGCTGCCTCAGGGAAGGTGGCGCAGTTTCAAAACCGGCCCACTCCGGTTCCGTCCGCCAGAAAGGAATTCGGTACACCTGCACTTACCTTTAAAGTTCACGCGAACCGCCACCTGCCGTCTGTCTATGAGGGCAGAGAAAGAACCAACAAGAGCTTCGGCCTCCGAATCTCAGAAAAGGCGGGAAATCGCTCCCCCTACGCGGCCAGCAGGGAGGGGTGAGGCCTCCAGCTGCTCAACGGCTAAATAACAGTCACCCGCGTCCACGTGACAGGCTCGCGAGACCTAAGTCTCCTCTCGCGAGATTTCGCTTTAGGCTGGTAACAATTCCTTCGCTTGGTTACTCCTTGGTGTTGACGTTCTTTAAGCTTCTGTTGTTAAAGAATGCAAGAAAAACCCTCAGGTGCTATGTATGATACATTGGAGCTGAGGGTGGAAAATCCATTTCTGCCCTCCAAGAGCTGTGTCACAGCCTTAAGAAGGAAACAGACGTGCAGGCAAACAGCTATAGCCAGATGTAATAATTGAAAGGCGGTAATTTTTTAAAGAGTCATTAAGACATAGGGAAAGTGGCCCTCACAGTGGCTTGGGGGGAGGGCGGGGGTCAGGAGAGGGTTCAGCCTGTGGTGTGTGTCTGCTCTGCTACCGCCTCAGCTGAGAATAGAAGGGTGAATGGAGTTGACTAGGTAGTGAATGGGGGAAAGAGTATTCTTGGCAGAGGCTCTGAAATTGTGAGAGAGATTCGTACAAAAGTGAGGGGGTCCAAGAAGTGCGGGGCAGGTTGTGAGGACACACTGGGAAAGTGGCAAGAGATTTAAGATTTAAGAGATTTAAGAGAGCAGATATGAAGACCTCGCAAAAGCTTTTGAATATTACCCTTTGTGGATGGGAATCTTGAAGAATTTTGAGCAGAAAGGGAGACATGATCACGTTCAGAATGAAAGTTGTAGTGAGAAAATGGTTTAGGCTTGACACTGCAGTTGGGAAGACAGTTTTAATAGCCTGGGTAAGGTATCAGGATCTAAGCTATGACAGCAGCAGTGGAGATGAAAAAAAGGTGTCAAATATAAAAGATATTTAGGAAGTAAAATTAATAGGATTTGGTCGCTTTTTAATAGTGGGTAGCAAAAGAGAGAGAAAAATTTAAGATGACTGCCTGGTTTCAGGTTTGGGAAACTAGATACAATAAATATTGTGCTAAGTACTTTGTGCAATAAGATACTATTTAACATATTGACTGTGTTTTCTAACTTTCTCCATGTACTATAATTGATGCTTTTCTAAAGTACTTGAGTAATTTTTTTAAATAACCCATTTTGTTTTATATAAATTTAATGAATCAAAAATACTAGTTTCTGTTAAAACTACAAAATTTTTGAGCTGGAAAGGATGATCTGGTGTAACATTTTGATTTTACGTTTTAAGAAAACTGAGTCTAGATACCCTAAAAAGTTTAAAATACTCCCTCCAAGAAATGATACCAAGAATATGCACAAGATACCCCCTGGGGGCAATAATTGATACATTTAAGTAAGATAGTTTTAAGTTTAGGGTATAAATTCAATATTCCAATTTTTTTGTTTGCTTTGCAACACTGAAAAATTCAATTATGCTCTTTTTTATTGAAAACCAAAATGCTACACCTAGTATTAAATTTACTTAATTCACAATATTTTATTTACTTGCACCCAGTCTTTCAAAACAATATTGCCACTATGGAATTTCTACATGAAATTTATTTTTAATGTATAACCATCCTATCCTTACAAGGACAAAAATATTTGTGGAGAGATTTTAAGAACTTCATTTAAAGATATGAAGAAAAGGTAAAACTGAGGAAAGCTTTGTTCCTCTTTAATAACCCATAAAATTCTATAAGGAATAGGTTTAAAATGTTAGTTCCTTATCCATTCATCTGGCCTTAATTAATGAGGTTCACAAACTGCCTTTATTCTAATTACATTGTTTCCACTAGATAGCCTTTTTCATGTCTATAATAGATCTCTATATATTCATTCAATTTTCTACTAAATGAAATAGTTTCTTAGGTAAGAACTCTACTTAGCATTATTCCCTTTCGAAGGAACCATGCAGTAGCAATAACCATCCTTCTTTTGAGTATAATCTTGAAAAGAATCCTAGATGTCCCTCAAGACATGGTCTTATATTCTATAAAATTTGATGAGCCCTGATGATGTCCATTTTATGGTGACATATTGGTAACATAGCAATGCTGTTCATGTTTTTTCAAATCAGTCATCCTGTGATGATAGAGTAAACAATCTAGATTTAAGAATTTTAAGACAAACCACAACATTCTAAAATTTCAGCAATGTGAATACAAATACCATTTCTCAGAGAGTAAACTAGTCAATTTGGGGTCCTTTGTTTTCCAAATGCTAAGTATTTCTGCATGGTTGTGACTCAGTGTCCTCAGTTCAGTGAGCCTCTCTATGAGACAAGCAAAATGGTGTGCGTCTTCTGGATGATACATTTTTTAATATTTGTACAAAATTTGTAAAACTGGTTCTTGCAAATTTTCCACATGTTGCTTATTTTTAAGGTGTGGACAATCTGAAAAACATTATCATATATATCTTAATGAATACTGGAAAATGGCAGAACATAATGAATTAATTTAAAATAAAACAGTTTTTAAATGATAAAAATAGCAGCTAGTTTACTGAATCATTAATATATACAGATATTATGCCAAGTAACTTGCATCTATGTATTATCTTATTTTATCTTCATAATACTCTATGAAGAGAAGTGTTTGATGACTAGGCAGCATTTGTTCATCTACTCATTATGCCGGAGAGATACAGCAGAGAACATAACAGACAAAATTTCCTGCCCTCATTGAGTTGATATTCTGGGTCTGGGAGGAGTAGGGAAGGAAAGAGAAATACACACATTTTTTAAAATAAAAATAGGAATAGGACAGTGGTAAGTGTTATAGAGAAAAATAAATGGGGAAGAGGATAAGAATTTAGGGTGGAGGGTCAGTAGCTATTTTTAAGGGTAATCAAAAATAAATTATATTTAGCAGAGAGCCACAGTGGTAAAAGAGGGAGCCATGTAGCTATCTAGGAAAAGGGTTTTCCAAGTAGCAGATTTGTCAAGTATAGTAGAACCTGTGATAGGAGCCCGCTTGAAATTTGCAAGGAATCATATGCATCTAAGGCAGTGTGCCTGTGGTGGTATAAGCAAAAGGGATAGTAATAGGCAATGATGGAAAGAACTTTGGTGTTAATCTGTGTAAGATAGGAAGCCATTAAAGTGTTAAGAGCAGAAGAATGACATGATCTGGCTTATGTTTTCAGAGAATCGCTCTGGCTACTGTATAGCAAATAGAACCTAGGAATGCAAGGATAGAAACAGGAAAGTGAGTTAGGATAGTAGTTTTGATTAGGTGGCAGGAACAGAGACAGTAAGAAGTGGTTGAGTTCTGGATATATTTGAGGCTAGAGCCAACAGTATTTGTTGCTTATTTGACATGGATATAAGGGAAAAGTTGAAGGATGACTTCAAGAATTTTGGCTTAAACAACTTGAAGGATGGACTTACTGTTTAGTAGAGTTGAGGAAGAAAATAGAGGGGAGGTCAGGAGTTTACCTTTCTTTGGACACGTTAAATTTGATATGCCTACTAGACATTCAAGTTGAAATCTTAAGTACGCTATTTAATGGACTGTAGGGGAGCAGTTCAAGTTGGTATATAAATTTGGGAGTTATCAGCGTATAGATGGCATTAAATACATGAGATAGGATGAAATTTCAAAGGAAGTGAGTAAAGAAGAAAAGAGAACTGAGCCCCAGGATGCTCTAACATTTTTCAGTGTGGGATTTGAGGAGGAATTAACAAAGGAGACAGAAAGAGCAGATACTGAGAAATAAAATCAAGAAAGTGTGATGCCCTGGAAATCAAATGGGGGTGGGGAGGAAGTATGACAAGGAGGGAGTGATCAACTGAAGCCAAGTGATGAAGTGTTCTAAGAGAGAGGGTGTGATTTGCCCTGTCAAACGTAGCTCATTTGTCAAGTAAGTTGAGAACCAAGAATTGACCACTGGAATCAGCAATGCCAAATTACTGAATATCTTGACAAGTTATGGCAAAATGGAAAGGAGGGGACAAAATCTGAAGTATTGGGTTCAGGAGTAAAAATGGAAAGAGAGAAATAGAAGTGGCAGCAAGAGTGTAGACAACTCTAAAACAAAATTTTATTTTTCTGTAATGTAGAACAGAGAAATGAGAGAATAGCTGAAAGGGGGATATAAGGTCAAGAAGGCCTTTTTTTAAGAGGCAAGAAACTACAGCATGTTTGTAAGCTGAAGGGAATGCTCTTCTAGAGAAGGCAATTTTGATGAAACAAAATTGGTACATTTGGCATCAATGAATAATGTAATAACCACAATTATTGTGGTTTCATTGCCAAACTGAACCCATATTTTTACTGCTGAATGGTTTTTACCTGAAAAAAACACAGTTGTTGCTGCAAGCACAGCATATTCCATGTCAGTAATATTAAGCTCACTCATTCTTCTGTAGAAGTAAAACAGTATGCTAATAAATTCTTCAGAAATATCTAAAAAATTAATATCAAATGTATTTTCATCAGAACATAGTGCAGAAACAAATATATTGCCATTAGTATTTCTTTCTCAAAGAAGTATAAGAAAATGAAACGTTATATCTGACCAATTTTTTCCATCTAATTAATATTTTGTATTGTATGTTACATTACCAGTGAGCCCAGCAGGACAGTCTCCATTGCCAAATGTTTCCATAGAATAAATAACACTTCTATCACCACTTTGATTGTGACAATTCAGTGAATGATCTGAATGATTTAATATTCTTATAGTATCTAGTAAAAGGGAAAAACATAAATTCTGATTATTTAAAAATCTTTAAACAGATAGTAAATTCAATCTTTCTAATCTTTGTTAGCCAGGAAACGTTCCCAATGAAAGGTAGCTTTATCATTTTTATTACCAAAACATGAAGCAAGATTAATAGTTCATAATTTATATAAAGGTTACAGACCCTCCAAAAATCTGTTTGCCTTGATACTGTATAATGAAGAATGGCTTTCTTGAAAAGCAAAAGCTAGATCAATGAATTGGAAAATTATAAACAGCTATTATAAAGTACTTATTTGTACACTAACGAGTAAAATTAAAACATAATAAGAAAAAAATAGCTCAATGTTATGTAATTTTTCTAAATTTAATACTCCTTATTAACATTAAGACTGAGTTAATTGGCCTTTTTTACTTTCAGAAGATGATGAAAGACATTCTTTCTGATTGTAAAGTTGGGCCCCATGAAGGAACATCACTTCAGTTCTTGATCCTTTCCATAATGCAGTCTGATCCTTATTGGTCAAATTTTCAAATCCTTTAAGAAAAGATCACATAATTGATTCCACCTGGTAATATTTTGGGGCACTTTCATCAGAACTGGATAATAATACTTTCCTATGGCAAGAGCAAATTAAACATAGTTTAGCTTTGAAGAATTTATTTTTACAGTGAGTTATCTATACATGTAAATATAAATAAATAGCTAAGTTTTAGGCAACAGTGGCTTGATTTTTTTTTGTATTGTATAGGGAATTTTGTTTATTTAATGTTTTATCTAAAAAAACAAAAGAATTTATTTCCCAAAAGTAAAACTAAAATAAAACATATAACCAATCATATTGATTGTCTTAAGTCTAAGTCTTTGAAGTCACTTGAATAATATTTCCAAATATTTATACTTTTACCCACCTGATTGATTAAAGCAGACAAAATAAACATATTTTTGCATTTAGAAGCATTTTGGGTGGTAAAATAGAGATCTTGATTGTCCTAAAATGTTCCCCTCCTTTAAAACAAGAAACTTTTTTTTCTTTTAATTATTTTTTATTATGAAATACAAAACAAGAAACTTTTTGAAAATTAAGTGTTAAATTACTTTTTTTCCAAAAGTAAAGTAATTACCTGGGAGTCCCTTGGTAAAATCCATTAACCCCTGTATGTGTAGAACTATTGTCTCTGAGAGTCACAAAAAGCTCAGTTCAGGATTTGCATATTCCTGCAGCTAACCAACAAAAAAGAAATAAGACTATAAAAATTGTATTTCCTTTCAAATAACTGTTTAAATTTTAACGGTTATGTTTATGCTCTTATTTTCTAACATAATTATAAATTATTTCTTTCCAGTAATGTACACATACAAATGTCTTTGTTTCCTGTAATTGAATTTTATATTTTTGATGAGCAGCCACAGTGTTATTAATGAGCTGATGTTCCTCTTGAGTTAGTTCCATGCTCTCCAGAATCTATAAGAAAACGGAGGAGGTAAACTATAATGCATACTTATTAAACGAGAGATCATAATTAAGGAAACAAAAACCTTATAAGAAGAGTCTTACCACTTTTCCAGATCTAGTGGTGGACGATACACGCTTGTTATCTACTCCTTCCTCTTCCACTTTGATGTTAGACTGAAAACTATTCTGCTTAAAGTTCTTTCGAAGTCTCTTTGATTTGCATTGGATTTCTGTGAGCAAACCTGTGATATTACAAAATTCATATAAAGTGTTTTGAGTACAGCAAAGAACATGGTTGAATTGGTGAAAATTGTCTTATGCTACATACATTTATTATCATTGACTTGTCTTTTTACACAGGACATTTTTTGGCAAGCATGTACAATAGCAATCAAATTTACTGTATTACTTGCCCCTTTTCCTTGCACAACACCTGTCTACTTAAAAGTACATAGTCATCGTAGATACAAATTAAATGTTAATTTTGCTTCTCCAAATTATAAATTTAGACATTTTTATATAAGAGAAATTTCCACATTAATTTTATCTTGGAAGCAACATAGAATGTCAGTTGGTACAGCAGTTGAACTACTTCACCTTTTATTCTTGATTAGCCAAGAGAATATCTTGTGATTTTTTTTTTAAATGAGCTATGTCAATTTTTCCTTATAAGACAAGACAATGGTATTTTGTTATAGGAGCCCTAGCTGACTAAGACAGGGAGCCTTAAGATCTATCCAACTCGGTAATTTTAAATAATAGGACTCCATTTGGTGAAGAACTTTGACTAGAGTTTGGATTTGATTATAAGGAGTGTAATATAAACAGAATATTGCATTGGTATTTATTGAATAAGTGTATAACTTAGTAAAAATTGAAGATTATTATTATAGCAGAGTTGAAGGCATATTGAACTAAAAAGAAAGAATGGAGAAATGGCCATGAAACTAATAAGTGTAAGAGAATGAGTTTACACCAGGCTAGGTTAGCCATGAGAAGAAAACATTAAGAGTACTCTAATAAACAAAAATGAAGTTTAAAGTTACCATGAGATTTTGAGCCCTGAGGAATAGGAGTAATTGAGGAAATAATGCCAAAATCTTAGTACTACTGTTGTGAGGATCAAATGATATCGTGTAATTTGTTAACTAAAAACACAGTGAACAAAACACTTAGGCACTCTTCTGCCTGTTGATTTGGGTTTTGACATCTATGTGTTGCTGTTAGTGGGCTCTACATACCCAGGTATCACGTAGGCTTTTAAAGATAGGTACAAGATCGAAGAGGGGGAACTAGGCATATTTAAAATTCTGCACTTATATGAAAATACAAGGATTTCCAATTAAGAAGAAAGTATGACTATTACCAAAATTAGAGCAATATCATCTAGAACAGGGTTTATGGAAATAATTACCTAGATTGCTTACTGACTATCCTAATTTAGCAGTTGCTAGAGAAATATCTTAAATCCAGACAAATATGACTTCAAAATGACAACTTGAAGAATGTATTAAGTTCTTAGTAAGGTAAGAAAAACTTAAATCTCCCTCAAAAAAAAACCACAACGCCACTTACATTCTGCCAACATGCCTACTGCCTTACACTTTTTCAGTCTGCATGCTTGACATTTTCTATGCATGTACGTGTCCATTTCACAATGACCACCATTCTTGCAACTATAAACTGTGTTTTTGGTGATGCTATGTCGAAAAAACCCTAATAACAAAAAAACATTTTTAAATTTTACTATTAGGTATTTTTAGTTACTTGTTTTTATTAATATATACCTTCAAGTAGAGTTAAGTAATCAAGTTAACTAAATTTTTTCAATGTTTTTCCCTCAATAAGATTTGGTTTAATATATATTTCTTCTGGATAATTATTTAAATCTCTCCTGTTTGATATATGTATTCTGTTTCAAGATTGTGCCTTTCAATAATCACATCTGGAATTAAACTAAATAGCTCCATCACATTAAGACAACTCTGTTTTACTATGGTTATAATATATCACCTAAAAGCATATTTAAAACTATGTTGTACAGAATATCAAGATTGCATGAGGCGGGCCAGCCGAGTGGCGCGTTGGTTAAGAGCTGGCTTGGGATGCCAGGGGGCCCCGGTTTGGATCCCACATATGAGGGCCAGTGACACTGCCCTCTACAGCTAAGATGCTGAACAACAATTCAACCTGGAGCTGGGCTGCCGTGGGCTGCCGTGGGCTGCCGTGGGCAGCAGTGGGTTGCTATGGGCTACCGTGTGTAGCCAGCAGCCAGCGTGAGCGGCCAGCAGGAGCCGTGAGCAGCCGTCCAGAAGCCGGCGACTGATCTGACTCGCCCGGGAAGAGCGCAATGATGGTGACAACTTGGGCCAGTGAAGCAATGTCCTCCACAACTAGAATGAAGAACAAAAGGACAGCAACTTGTCTGTTCCCCTTCCCTCAATTCCCCAGCGCTGTTCCCATTCCCCAATTCTCCAATAAAAACCTTAAAGAAAAAAAAAAAAGATTGCATGAGGCATCTCTCAAGGTTCCCTTGAGAGAAATACGTGTTTAGGTAAAATAAGACTACAAGGAAAACCTGTTTTTTTCTCTTCTAACATTTGTACCTCAACCCATAAAGGAAGAGATATTCTTCCAAAATTACTCCTCTGTTTTTCCTTTTTTTAGCACTTCCTCCGGTGAGAAAGTATTGCTAGTTTATTTGATCTGAGATGTTGAATAGGCCATGTTTTGTGTGTATGTGCATGTATACAGGAGGGGTAAGGGTTCTACATTTTCTTTCACTTCCTAAATCCATACATAGCAGTCCCTCTTCCCATTTCCTCTTTCATTTTCCATCCCTATGCAACACTTCCTGCTGTCTTCCTCTTATTTCATTCCAAGCAGTGAGGCTGATAAGCTTAGTCAATGCCCACCCCTCTTAGGGGCCTGACATAGGCTCTTTTTCTGTAGATACATTTGAGAATGGGAGTTTCATGACTTAGATTCAACAGAGTAGAAAGCTCAGCTTAGGTTTCCAGAACTATGCCTCCTTCTTCAACCTAGTTTTAACAGCAAGGCCTGCATTTTAAGACTAAGCAAATACTGGCCCGGCTATTCTATTCATAAAGCTGATACTTCATTTCCCCTGGTCTTCACTTGGCTCTTCTTTGAGAGGGATAAGTTGAGCTTCGGACAGTAAAATTTCACCTAAACTTCCAATAGATATGGGTATCTAGTGTTGTATTGGCTTAATCATTTCCAAGTTCTCTCCCAACATTGCATTTGTGAATAAAGACAATGCAGAAGTGTTTCAAAAGCTCAAAAGGTCGTCAAAGACCATTTCATTCTTTGAAAATGCCCTTGTCAATGCTGATCTTCAGTTGCAGACCTCTCATTTGTTTTCAAATATATTCCAAAAAAATAATAATAATAGACTTAGATAGAATCTTAGGAGTCATTTAATTTAAATTCCCTCCTAATGCATGAATTATATAAACCACACGTGAGAATGTAATAGTTAACATTCAGATCTTTTTAGAAGTCATTTTCTATTCCAACATCGGATTCATCTAGGAACATGGAAAACTTCTGCCATATAAATTATTGAATTTTATATTTAAAGGTAGAAGTCTTCATCAAAAATGAAAAGAAAGCTGAAATAAAATTTTATTACATTCTATTTTTATGTCTTTGATCCCACAGATCGATCACCTTTAAACATACCAATGGCTTTCCCTACTTTCATTTTTCACACTGTAAAAAGTAAGAGTACTCATCCATGCCTCAAATTTTGTCTCTTCAGTGAACATTTGGATTTCAATTTTGTTTTAACTTTATCCTTACCTTTGCAACCTTCACAGGTAAGGGCATTATTATAATGATATCCTGATGCTTTATCAACACAAACTACACAGAATTCTTCCTGTCCCTTAATTCTCATAGAAGAATTAGTTAGTCTGGACCTTTTTATCCCAGGGTATCTATTGTCCACATCGTGGGCAACCACATTAGTGGATTTATTTAATTCACAGGAAGCAAGTCGACACTCTCCACCCCTGAACTGCCAATCCAAGGTATAAGTGTTGAAATGACTTTGTAAAGATGGCGACTGTAGAGCTGCAGGAAACTGGACTGTAGAATACTGGCAATAAGGTGATTCTTTAAAATCAGTGTCGTGCAGCTGATGATTGATTTGTTCTGGCAAAATATCTAGATTTTTAATATAAAAAATGGTAAAAAGTCAGTTTCATATTGTTTTCAAATTTCGAAAATTTTTATGCTCAGCAGTTTTTGTTCAACATATCCACTATATTCCCAGGTCTTGCTGTCCAGCATAAGGGGCAGACAGTAAGCTTACATACCAATCCAGTCTCCCTTCTTGGGTAGAAATGAGTATTTCCCAGTTTGGAATGAAAGACAGTTTTCCCTACCTTCTGTATTTCCCTTGTGAATACAACTGTTTTCAGTGCAGTCAGTAAATAGATGAATTAATAAATTATTTCACTGCCCCCCAAGAAAAATGAAACTGAAATACATTTTACCAGTTATCTGATGTTAAATAAAAATCACAGGCCCAAAATGGAGTCACTTGTGCTTAAGCCATGAAACCAAACTCAGATAATACCTGACCTAAATGTAGTTTCAACCTTCTTTAGGAATGTAAATTTAATCAATTGGTCAGTCTGCAATTTTCTGGTCAGTATCAACGGGTAATCTGTCACACAGGCCCTCTCCATCCTATCTCCCCAAAGAAAGCTGAGGCAATCTGCCTGATAAGACCTCAACTTCCCTTAAAGGACAATTTTCTTTTGCTAATAACTCTCTTGTCTAGTTTCTGCCTATAAAAGCCTTCCATATTGTACAGCTTCTCAGAGCACCTCTCTGCTTGCTAGATGGGATGCTGCCATATTCATCAATCGCTCCATTTACTCTATTGAAGTTTTGTTCTTTAACACTACTTATTTCAAGCAAAACAATTGTTTGAACTCCCCATTTAATATACCTTAACACCCTTCTTTGCCATTTGTAGACCTGATTTAAATGACTAGTTTCGTTTTTGTTTTGTTGTCTAGCAATTCTAACTAGCAATTATCTGGGGATAAATTTACCTACAAGATTACTATAAGAAAAATAAAATATGGTATACAAAAGCGTATATAAAATACAAAATGGTATTAATTTAATGAATATTATTTTTTATTTTTTATTTTATTATTATCAGAAACTCCCAAACACCAACTTACTTTCTGCTTTCAGGAGAATTACTGAATCTAAATGCAGAAAATTGGCTCCAAAAGGACTCAGGAATATTCAGTTGCTCATGTCTGTAACTAATAATATTTGTGCTTTTCTTGGTGCTGAGGTGCTGAATCACAAGGTGATGAGACTTACCCTTAAAAGTCTACCACCAAGATTGGTAAACAGTATAATTTTTATTAATTCACATAAACCATTTGCAATCTTAGAGTATCCAGTCTAATACAAAGTGTTTAATAAATACCAGTGACACCCTAATATAAAAAGAAAGGTTATCAGTAAAAACAAGCCTTTCATGGATGATTATCAAAAGACTGCAGAATACTGGCTAATGTTCCATTGGCACAGAAATCAGACTTCAAACTGTAAAAAACAAACAAAAAAAAAAACACTGCATTTTAAATTTATATTATAGCCTTAGTCTTCTTGGAGAAAATTCCTATTGTGTCCTGCATCTGTTTTCTATTTCTTTCCCTATGATAAAAATCTTACATGAACATTAAAATTTCAAGTATATCGAATTAGCTTCTCTGATCTAAATTTACTAAGTTCCATGAGAACTAGCTTTCACCAACCCCCCAAAACAACTTCAATTTGCATGTTATTCAATTTTTTTTAATTGAATACAATTTTAAACTTGTGCTTTTTACTTGTTTACATTTGATTCTGGCTTATGTATTACTGATTTAAAATTTAATTATATCTCTTGTAGGGAATAATTTAAAGTCTTTGGATCATTTGTTAATTAAAAAAACCTGTAATTAATAATTCCCACAAAAAATATTTTAATTAAATTTAACTAAAGCTAGTTCACATGCAGGTTAGTAAATATATTTCAGAGTAGTTATTCAATATACTCGAAATTTCAATTAAATTAAGTAATATTTTATTAACTATTATACTGTCATTTTTTGTTGCATACCACAGTACTGCACCTGTTCAGCAAGGCAGCAGCCATCAGATGCAGTGACATAAGTATATGCCATTCTCCGATCCAATTCTCATTTCTTTATTAATGAGTACTAAACAGAACCTGAAGGAAATAAAAATTTTGTGGATTATTTGAAAGTATGATTATCAAATCAGTTTGATTTTATAAAAGTAAAATACTGTTTTTGAAAAATAAAGAGTTTAACAAAATTTATACATATTTATGTTAACTGGGAAAATACTGATTTTTCATATTTCTATACACCAAATAATTTAATTCTGCCAATTTCTGATTGCTCAGGTCTTTACAAATAACTTAATAAATCTTGGTAATCGTTGTGTCACTTGAAAGTCTACCGAGTTTTGAGGGCAGGCCTAGTGGCTCAGTTGGTTGGGAGTTGGCTTGGGAGTGTGAGCTCTGAACAGCAAGGCCGCCAGTTCAATTCCCACATGGGCCAATGGCGCTGCACCCGAACTGAGCTGCCGCTGAGCTGCCAACAGGTGACAGGATGGCTCAGCAAAAAAAACCCCAGAATTTATGGGCCGGCCAAGTGGCATGTTGGTTAAGAGTTGGCTTGGGACGCTAGCTCTGAGCAGCAGGCCCCCGGTTCGGATCTCACATGAGGGCCAGTGATGCTGCACCTTCTACAGCTAAGATGGTGAACAACAGCTCGACCTGGAGCTGGGCTGCCGTGAGTCACAGGCGACGGCATAGGCTGCAGTGTGAGCTGCCATCAGCCACTGTGAGCAGCCGTCCAATGGCCAGCTAGTGACTGCCTCACCCAGGAAAAGCGCAATGATAACACCAACATGGGCCAGTGAAGCGACGTCCTCCACAACTAGACTGAAGAACAAAACAACAGCAACGTGTCTGTTCCCCTTCCCCGATTCCCCAACGCTGTTCCCCTCCCACAATTCCCCCATAAAAAAAGAAAAGCGTACCGAGTTTTGGAGTTAGGTTTCATATACTGCTCTCACACTTATTTATGGGTCATTTATTAAATCTCCCTCAACCTAAGTAAGTTTCCTCATTTGTAGAAGAGAATAACTAAACCATCCTAGAAAAATTGTTGGGAGAAGTTAATTTATTTATGTAAATTAAATAAATTTAAAAGCAGAGTTCTTGACTTAATAACTGATTCCTGTAACCTTTATTCAAGATCTCAGTGTTCTAAATGTAGGTAAATTAGGAAGAAAAATTAGACTTGTTCATGAAGAAAACTAAAGAGTAGGGAAAAGATGGCTTTTATAGCACTTTTGTTTAATCTTCTAAGTCCTTTGTAAATATTTATCTTTCATAGACCTGTGATATGCCAAACATTATTAAAATAGTAATGTTGGGTCTGCTTGACTAATGAAAATAGTTTATTGATTACTGAAAAAGTGTTTTATTTTTTAATAGTAAAACCTAAAAATCATAAGCTGTTATGAGGAAAAATTATTCAAAATCTAAGACAACCCCTTAAGGGAAAAACTATTTTTGTTATTTTCTAGGAATAAGCTCCAAAAATAATATATCTTTGAATAGACTTAAACAGGAAATCACAACTTAAGAAACTGAAAGTTATTAGAAGAAAATAAAGGTCCCTCTATAGTCCATCATATTTTACAGCTTTATTCTCTCTATTAGAAGATAAAGACTGTTTTCACCTTGGAAAAGAAGCAAAAAAGAAGAAAATGGGTTTTAAACCATGCATGAAAATATACATGACAAATTTTTGAGATAGCTTCTGAGATTATATTGAAAAATCTTTTGTTAATTACTAAAATAAATATGTGATAGGCTCATGGCTAAAGTTTCTATATCCATGAAGATGATTCAAATAATAATATCTCTGAAATTTGTCTTCTTTATCATGTCATCGTATCTAGGTTCCTTTAAAAGCACTGGAATAACCCACTCTTCTAACAAAATAGCAGCAGTCATATAGAATTGGATCGAACAGATGAAACAAAAGCGGTACCCCCGAATGAGTATAATTTCAATATGAAGTTTTCCTTGAAAAATAAGGACTAAAATCAACAAGATCAGTCAGTATATACTTCTGTTTTTTCTATATTATGACAGGTTAATTGGCTCTAAATACAAAAAGAATTCTGAATGCTATTGGTTTAATTTGTGTGATACTTTTTAGCAATAGTCCTGTTTAGTTCTTTCCAAACTTCTATTTTAAGTCTCAGTTATTCTAGAAAATTACTAATGAATGTGAAAACTTGAAGTTGCTATTCACCTTTCTTTCAAAATTGTTGTGTTTACCATTACGCTTCATATAATATTAAATATCTAAAGATTAAAAATTAAAAAGTATTTGGTATGCTTAAGTATAGACATTGCTGAGTGAGGGTTTATTTCAGAAATAATATAAAACAAACCAGAGGTAACACATGAAAACAAAACTGGTACTATGCTTGCAAACACACACATAAGTATCTCTATTATAGGTTCATATAAATAACAATGTTCTAAAATCAATTCTTTCCAATACTGATAAATAAATGCCTAAAAATACTTTCTAAAACCAGACCTGTTTTTATCAGTTTATGGATTAGTTATATTCCAGGGTATATATGGGACATGTACATAAATAAGCCTCTGATAAAAAAAAAACTATACCTTTTAAATTATGAAATATTTATCTCTTTTATATGTCCATAGTAAAGGTTACATTATTTTCTACATAAAATTTTTCACTAATTAAATTTTTCTTCAGACTTAAATGTTTAATAGATATGCATAGTAAAATACTTTCAAATATAAAGCATTCATAAAATTAGTTTTAAAACATTTAAGTAAATTATTAGTAACATCAAGAGAGGTATGTAATAAAAAACTGTCTGTCCTGGGCTGGCCGAGTGGCGCGGTGGTTAAGAACTGGCTTGGGATGCCAGAGGACCCCAGTTCGGATCCCACATATGGGGGCCAGTGACACTGCCCTCTGCAGCTAAGATGCTGAACAACAGCTCAACCTGGAGCTGGGCTGCTGTGAGTCACTGGAGATGGCGTAGGCTGCAGCCCCTGTGGCAGTGGGTTGCCACGGGCTGCAGTATATAGCCAGCAGCCAGCGTGAGCGGCCATCAGCCACAGTGAGCAGCCGTCCAGAGGCGAATGATGTGCCTCGCCCGGGAAGAGCGCAATGATGGTGCCAACTTGGGCCAGTGAAGCAACATCCTCCACAACTAGACTGAAGAACAAAACAATAGCAACTTGTCTTGTTCCCCTTTCCCCAGTTCCCCAGCATTGTTCCCATTCCCCAATTCCCCAATAAAAATCTTTAAAAAAAAAACAAACGAAAAAAAACTGTCTGTCCTGTTGAAGTAAAGAGAAAAGTTACAATGGGCCTGGAATGATTCTGTTTTGTTATCTTTCCTAGTAAATATTTATTTAAACAAAAATAACTTATCTAAGAGAGGAACTTTGATCAAGAGGATCAATTTAGCATGGGCAAAATCTATATATTTTTTCTTTAGCAAATATAACTATAAAAAACTGTATTTTTTATAGATTGTGTAGCTATTCTACTGAAAAGATGCTTGATTGCATAAACAAATTTGCATCTCCTCTACCTTAACCATAAATTGTTCTTAGTAAATCTTCATATATCTAGAACTTCAACAGAAAAAACATTGATTCCTGAGAACTACATCTATACGTTAAACAATTTTAGTTTTTACATTTTTAATCTTGCAATATGTCATTTGAATCATGAATAATGCTTTGCTTAAAATTGTTATAACTGCAAAGTACATTGCTTTACCAGAAAAACATTTTAATTTTCATAATAGCCTCTACTAAAAAAATGAATGATAGAGCTATATGATACATAATCATAAAAAGGTTTTTCATGATCAGGGTTCTTTGAGCCAAAATTCTCTGAGCTTATTGGAACAATGAAACATGAAAAGAATATATTTCAATATCAAGACAAATTAAGGCTTCTTCATTCCTTTATAAGGATCTATCCTTCAACTTTAGAATATAGGGAGATGGTAGAAGAGGGTAAAAGAGATCAAATATATGGTGATGGAAGGAGAACAGACTCTAGGTGGTGAACACACAATGCAATATACAAGTATAGCTGATGTGTTATAGAATAGTATACTTGCAACCTATGTAGTTTTGTTGACCATTGTCACCCCAATAAATTTTTATCAAAAAGAATACAGGGAAGGGCTGGCCGAGTGGCTCAGTTGGTTAAGAACTCGCTCAAGAGTTTGAGCTCTGAGCAACAGCGGTTCGAGTCCAGCCCGAACTGAGCAGCAGCTGAGCTGCCAACAGGTAGCAGGATGGCTCAGCTAAAAACAAAAAACAAAACAAAACAAAAGAATACAGGGAAAATTTTACACTGTGAAATGCTCCCATATAGTTTTATTACACAGCTTTATTGGGATGTAATTTACATAACATAAAATTCATTCTTTTAAAGTGTACAATTCAATGGTTTTTAGAATATGCACAGTGTGCAACTATCACTACCATCTAATTCCAGAACATTTTCATCACCCCAAAATGAAATCCCAAGCCCATAATTAGTCATTTCCCATTCCCTTCTCTCCCTAATCACAGGCAATCACTAATCAACTTTCTGTTTCTATGGATTTGCCTGTCCTAGACATTTCATATACATGGAATCATACAACTCTGTATACAACTTTAAATGAAAAACTATTTATAGTATGTCAAGTAATTTTCACAGCATAAGAAAAATAGAGAAAATATATCAGTTTAAAAATTCATGACTATGAAATTAATATTTTATATACTTCAGAAATGTAGAAATATATTTTGTGTCTATTTCCATAATATGAAATAATTTTCACCTTCCTTTTCACTAGAAGTATAATTCCTCAACTACTACACCTTTATCAGAATATACTTCAAGTTGCTTTGAATTTACAGTATATACAGTATAACCTATTGATATATTTTACCAATAAGTTCTTGATTGTAAAACAAGTTTTGTTTTTAAAACATGCATGTAACAATGAACATCATTGTAAAGTGACTTATTATATCAAATGTCAAGTCCAACTACAGTCCAAAATTGCCTTTAGGAGA